CAGACACACACAGACACACACAGACACACACAGACACACACACACTTAAGTGCACTGACACAGTTAATAGTCCAGTGAACCAGTTCCCTAAAGCAAATACAATTAACGAAGAGTAGAGTGTTTCTTAATTCAGGGCACGTTCAGGCCTCGGGGAAAAGAGGAACATCTGTCCTCAACACAGGAGGAAGTGACTCAAGATCAAACACCAGAAATTACATTTTTAAACCGAAACAAACACACTGATGACAAGATAATTACTCGAAACAATTAGAAAAGGTAGGTTAAACACCTGACAGATCACTAATGCACATTCAAAGCGTCAGAAATGACATCTTTGTGCATTTTATGCACATTTGTACTAATGATCTGCCTGAATTTATCACACGTGATTGATCAGATATTAGTGTCAATCAATAATAATCAATAACACGGTTTTTTATGACTCAGATTATGAGATCTGCCGTGTCATTCAAGCTTTAGGATGGAAATAAACCTGCCATGATGCTGAATCACGTGTGCTGAAGACATTTAAGACACATAAAACATGTTTCAAACAGGTTAAATGGAAAATATAAGCAATAATTCGGCTGTCATCTCAGACAGACATATTAAACTGACCGATTGTGACAGTTACGTACAAGAACACACGAAATAAACAGCACGACATGTAATCTGATTATAAATAGCGTCGTTATTAATAGACAATCTGTAGCTGTTGTGGTTTGTAGATATTCTACAAAGCGATTTATCAGATCTGCAACGGCTAATCGCTGCACTTGGCTTTCACTATCGAAAAACAGCAGGTTTACTTTACCTCACAGCGTCTAAACGCGTCTCCGCTAGTTTAGATGGACTCTTCTTGACGATAAAAATAATTATTCCGACTAATAAGAGCCGAACCGTGTCATAAGAGGTTTAATCGGACAGGTTTCATGCTAACCCACTCCGGACTGAAGGATCACGGACGCCATTTTGGCTCAACAGACGTCTGTTTCCTGCTCCGCCGTCGCGGGAGTTCTACGTCACGACCGCGTGCTTCTCACGTTTCCCCTTCCAAACTTTATTTGTAGCTTTTATGACTCAAGAGTATAAAAAAAGAAAAATGAAGTTAGTTGCATAAAATATTTGGGAAAGCACTGGGAAACAATCTAATACTTGGTATAATTAACACATGTGATATTTTCGAAATAGAGTACGAATTTGAATTGTAATGTCGACCTCCCAATAACCCTGTATCATAAACAAGACCATTATCAGTTATTTGAATAAATGTGTTAAAAAAAAACTAAAAATAAGTAGCATTTTCAGGAAAATATGCTGAACAAATGATTCTTTTTAGGTACAGTTTAGAGTTAAGCCTGTGCAGTTTTAAAAGCATTTTATGTATATTTCTCTAAATAAGTCATAACAGTACAAAGGCTTATTTATACTGTTCCCATTTTGCATTTTTGCCTAAAATAATAGATTTGTCATCTGCTTTTCCTTGTCTGATATAAATGCATTGTCAAGAAATATCAAGATAAGAGTTATAAAAGTATTGTTTTATGAAAATGTATTGTCAAGATCTACCCAAAAGGATCCAGAGAAGTATATTTCATTTAAAGGGACGAAGTACATTTTTAACAGGTTTGTTTTTACAATGTCTTTACAAGTTCAGCACACCACACTAAAAGTTATACACTATTTTCAATAAAACAATTCAGTCTCCAACATAATTAAAATAAAAAGGAAAGAAAGCTCTGAGGTTTGGCTGATAACTGCAGTAAAACATAAAAAAAAACTGTTTGCACAATTGCAACACTTCAATTGTTTAATTCACAGAAACACTGACAAAACACACATACACTAGCAATTTCAGAAAAACAACAAGCTTTTCAAAACACCAGAACTGACAATGTAACATTTATATAACATACTAAAATGATCCATATAAGCCTGACATAAAAGTATTAAAGATGAGATTTAATGAGAAACAAATGTACAGCAGGGGAATTTACGTGATGCTGTAAAGCAGTGTTATTAGTTTTTGTTCATATTTTGAATTAGTTTATATTTTTATATTTTCATTTTGTGAGTTTTAGTAATTTTGTTAGATTTCGTTAATTTTCTATCATTTTTTTTTTTTTCAGTTTTAGTTATTTTAGTACATCAAGTTAAACTAAATGAAAAATAAATATTTATTTATTATCACTATATTTCAAGTAACAAAAGTTTTTTCAAAGGTTTTGGATTTGGTTTTAGTTCACTATATTATACACTCTCAGAAAAAAAGGTACAAAAGCTCTCACTGGGGCGGTACCTTTTCAAAAGGCACACCTTTGTACCTAAAGAGTCCATATTGGTACTTTAAAGATACATATAAGTACCTAAAGTGTACATATTAGTACCTAAAAGGTACAAAAGTGTACCTTTTGAAAAGGTACTGCCCCAGTGACAGCTTTTGTACCTTTTTTTCTGAGAGAAAAGTGAGTGTTTCATATCAGAATTGAGTAAAAGCTGAATGAAATCCTCATCTGAAATGCCCCCGGCATCTATTGGACTTAAAAACAGAAGTCTTTTCATATAAGCTGAGAATGCTATTTTACGCTTTGATGCTAGATTATGAAATAAGAACTCAAACACTGATGAATCATGCAAAGTAAGTCAATTAAATAAGCTCAACGCGTTGACTTCTAAAATGCAAGTACAAAAAAATACACACACATCCATGTACAAAAAAAGAAAAAAAAAAAGAAAGCCAAAATAAGACACTCAGACATAAGCTTTGGAGACGCTGTTTTCTGACGGGGCTGATCTGTAGATCTTCTGCGGCTGTGAAGCACTGTAGTTATAGTTGTGACCCCTGAGAACCAGAGAGAGAATGACAGAATGACTTGTGTTGGTCACAGGTGAGTTTTAGAGCTCTTATCCGTCTCGGACACATGTAGAGACTTACCGTGTTTTGGCAGGTCTTGAGCTCTTAAAGGAAGTGCAGAGGATAGCTCCACCCAGTATAGCCAGAGCTGCTGCCGCCCATCCCAGATACAGACCAGCGCCCAGTTCATACCTGAAACATCCGCATGTGAGCGTGTTTAGTCATTATAATGGCATTTACATCAGGCTACAGGGTGCTTCATGTCCAAAAGTGTGTCTTAACTCTATAAAACCTTCTGTATCATGTTTAATACGCAAGTTTCTAAAGCCTCTAAATGATGATCAAAACTTTGCTGAAAAACGCAATCTACATGTCTTCTGTCGTCTGATTGAGAGTTTAGAGATTTTTATCCAGTCAAAGCTCTTTTAGTGTAATTGTAGAAACGTCCAGCTTCAGCTGGAGCTTCTCGTGTCAAATCTTGACTGATTTTGATCAAGTAAAGGTCAGAATAACTGCAGTAATATCTCCAGATGAACACTTACTGGACTGAAGCAGCTGGGCTTTACTTGATTCTCCATCAATCATGTTTTAGAGTCTCAAATCTGATCCTCAGGATCTTTTGAGGAGCGTTTGTTTCCAGAAGCTTTACTTTCACTGTTCCTCAGCGGAGGAATGATCTTCACAAGCCTCCAGAACATCTCACATCTTCTGAGGAGCCTTTATTTCTTCAGCTCTCAATCACTGCATTATATGTTTGGAGCATTTCAATCTCATCTTATTATTGGAGATATAGAGCGGCGACTGATATTTAGATCATTTTATGTCAGTATCTGCTGTACTGTTATTAAAGATCTCACTGATTTACATCACAAGCAGCAGAATTTCATCATATAAATATCAGCATCTGCAGCATGTTTTTGCTCAGTTTGAGTCTCTGAATAAAATTGAGCTGTTTTTCCTCTATATTCTGAGCCATAAAAACCTGATGGATCAAATATGATACTCAACAAAAAAACACAAATGCACACTCTTTTTTCTATTTTGTCTGAAGTTTCAATAAACAATTTTTCAGACTATTATGTCATATGTCCGACTTCACAGTTTTTACTCACTTTGTTCCTCCATAAAAAGGATCATTAAACTCCTGAACGACTCGAGCGGCGTACCACGACACGGCTACCATAACACACAGACCTGAGAGAGAGAACAGGCAGAACATGTGAACATGAATATATATGTTTAGATAATTCAGTCAGAGTGTGTGTGGTTATACTGACCTGACAGCATGAACATGACTCCGGCTGTGAGGCTGATCTTGCCCTTCGACTCCTCAGACGTGCTGCCCAGTTTAGTGCACTTGAGTCCCATCACAGCCATGATGACAGCCAGCAGACCCAGAATGAGAGCGATTATCATCAGAGCTCGACAGGCCTGGATATATCCTACAAAACACATCACATCAGAAACACATATGAGCTTCAGTATATCTTTACAAATGACTTAGGGTGCATGCATGTACCACGGCAGTATCAATTATGGCAGCACTAACTAAAGTTTGTCATACATGCATATGATATTTGAACATTTCCATGAGAGAAATACCATAGTATTCTCTCAGAAAAAAGGTAAAAACTGTCACTTGCATGGTACCCTTTCAAAATGTACCATTACAAATATGTACCATTTAGAGGTAAATGTACCTTTTAGCTTTTTGTACCTTTTGTTTCTGAGTGTGTAAATATCAAAGTACCATACTATTAAGTCCAGGTTATATTTCACCCCAAAAGCAAAAGAAAAAATATCATTTATAATTAATTCATCAATTAATTATATTTTGCATGAAAATGAAGCCTGTTTTTGAGACCATTATGATTATTCTGAAATTGCTTTTTTTCATTTAAATAAATTATATTAAATATTTAAATGTCATTATAGTGTTTGTTGTACCACCTTTCAATTATTCTGACTTAAGTAATAATTAATATATTTTTTCATTGTAAATTTCTTGAAAATTATGTCAAAACTGACCTTTTTTATTATGCAAAATACAAGTTCTTACATTTTATCTTTCATTTTGAAATACACTACCTTTCAAAAAGTTTGGGGTCAGAAATTAATATTTTTATTCAGCGAGGATGCATTAAATTGATCAAAAGTGACAGTAAAGGCATTTATAAAGTTACAAAATATTTCAAATTCATATAAATGCTGTTCTTTTGAACTTTCTATTCATCTGTGAATGAACAGCACAGCTGTTTTCAACATTGATAATAATCAGAAATGTTTGTTGAGCAGCAAATCAGCATATTAGAATGATTTCTGAAGATCATGTGACACTGAAGACTAGTAATGATGCTGAAAATACAGCTGCGCATCACAGAAATAAATTACAGTTTAACAGATATTCTCATAGAAAACAGTTATTTTAAATTGTAATAATATTTCACAATTTTTACTGTATTTCTGATCAAATAAATGCAGCCTTGCAGAGCAGAAGAAACTTCTTTCAAAAAGATAAAAAATCTGAGCCGAAACTAATGAATGATATGAGTTCAAGTAACATGGTATATGAATATGGTAGTGATGCAGTACTACAGTAAATATAAAAAAAAAAATTGTATAGTGCATGAAATTAAACCTTTTCTTAAAGATTTGTTTAAAATTTTAAATTTAAAATCAATTTTACAAAATTAAATATTTATGTCATGATAATATTTGTAAATAATAATAAATGTAAATATAATTTTTTAATCGTAAATTTGTTTAAAAATGTCAACAATGTCGAAACTGACAAATCACGAGACTCTAGTGTGTGTGTGTGTGTTACCAGCCAGAGAAAGCATGGACTCAAACTGCTTGCAGTTTCTGACGCCGGTGCTTCCCTCGGCACACGACTGCCACAGGTTCATATAGTACCACACAGACGTGATCACCTGATCCGCAAACGTCGACGTGCGCCACGAATCATTCACCAACGACACGAAGGAGAGCAGCCAGCCTCCCAAACACATCAAGAACCCCAGCAGCTGAACCCCAGTCGACATGATCGACTAACACGGCTCAAATCCACACAATATCTGAGAAAACACTATTATGAATCCACAGCTCCACCAGCAGACAGACTCCACACCGATCCGAGCGCCGTACCAGGATGGGACTGTGTTTGACTCTGTCACTGTGTTATAGATTCAAGATCGGAGTCATAAAACCATAAACTCTGGTCCCTCCTATATGACTTTCACTAGATAACACCGTGGAAGTCAATACAGGACGTGTCATGTGACTTAAGAGACAAACGTTTGAGTGTGACCTCTATAATAGAAGGCCATGACCTTTAATGAGGTCAAACTGGGGTCAAGGTGTGTGTGTGTGGCAAACTAAATAAACAGTGACATTTGATTCTAAATGAACTAGATTTTGTCTTTGCCTGAACACATTTTATATAAATCATACACAGCAGCTGAAACAAGGGTCATTTTTAACTAGAAAAGGAAGGTTTATGAGTTTGTGATGAACTTTGAATGATGGCAAAAGACAAAGTCCTGTCTGAAAGTCTTGAAACCAACAGATCGGTTTGTACTTAATTTTTTTTCATACGTAAGCATTATTTTTGTATTATTTATATACTATTATAGTCAGTATTATTTTAGTATCATTGATATATCATTATAGCTTTTGTTAAAATTTAGAATTTTGTTACAGTTTTAGTCATTTTTATTATTTTTTTGGAAAATATGTCTATATAGTTTTTATTATTTTTTATGCATGACTTTTAGTTCATTTAATTTGAGTAATTTGAGTTATTTGAAGAAAAACTACACAAAAATGAGAAATGTGGCTTTGGCAACTAATTCAAAGAAAGTACGTTTTGTGTTTTTTTTTTTTTCCGTAACGTTTTAGTTTAGTTTAGTTTTGGCTAACTATACTCCTGATTATAGTATTCATTAATATTTTATTTTTATATTTTCAATTTTAATTTTAATTTTAGTTTTAGTAAATTTGTTAAATATTTTTTATCATATTTCTGTTTTATTATTTTAGTACTCGTCTTGAACTTAAACTTATGTATTTCAGTTATGACACCATTTTTATTTTTCATGTTTTTTTTTTAAATTTTATTTCAACTTTGATTTAATTACTGAAAATGGTTTTCGTTTTAGCTAACACATATGCACATTTTTTCCTTCAAGTAATTTTTTAAATTTAAATCCACTTCCTGTAATTTAAATTTCAGTTCAGTTTGTTGTAGATTGTGTCCAATTCAAATTTAACCCATAAATAGAAAATAATTCAGTTCTTAAATTCTGAATTCTGCCTAAGAGTTAAACTGCAGTCAGGGTACATTTGAAACACATCTGCAGAAAACTGATCTGTATTCTAGAGTAAAGGTGTGTGTGAGTGTTTTATGACTAGTATAATCTCGTTTCGTCACAGGATTGAGCTCAGAGATCCAGTAAAACCGTGATGATACTGTATCACTGAAACCAACATGCAGTATGACGTAATGTGAGCGAAGGTGCGTGTCTCACCTGGAAGGCCCAGAACGGTCTTGAATCTCTGGCAGTGAATGGCTCCGAGCGAGTTAGACGCACACGACAGCCACAGGCCTTCAAACCGAGAGCTGGCCGTCACCACAGCCTCCCCGTGACTGGCTGTCCTCCACACGGCTGAGTTTGTGGAGCTGGACTCCAAACACCAGCTCACGATTCCCAGAAACATTCCCATCAGCTGAAACACCATCGCTGCCATCCTGAATCAGAGATTCTCACATTTATCAGACTACGCTCAAACACACTCAGTTTGGACAGACAAACATGTTGTGGTCAAACGTTTACATACACTTAATCTTTAGCAAAATAAGAGGGATTATTATAGAGCAAACCCCTCCATAAAAACCTTCAGAATGTAGATAGGAATAAAACTTCTAACTTTGGTGCATGCAGTGGTTTGGCATAATCTGTAGTTCATTGCCTTCATTGGGGGTAAACATTTCAAGAAATTTGATAGAAATGTTAGTGAAGCCCCAAACATCTATCACAATTTAGATATCATCCTGACACCACAATTCTGTCAGATGTCTCCAACGTTGGTTTTTAAACTGGAAAAAATAAACACTTTCTCAAAGAGTTTCATTACCCTTTTAAGTTCCATAAAGAACCATAAAGTCAGCATAAAGGTTCTTCAGGCAGATGTGATTCTTAAATGGAACTATTAATATCATTAAAGAACATTTAAGCTTTTCTAGAGTGAGAAATTCAGACGTGTTCTATTCATGATTGATCAAACATTGGACTTCAAACTCTTGTGAAATAAAAGCAAATCATGCAGTGATTAATTTATTAATTCCTCTATCTAGTAACATGTATAGAAAGGCTATTAACATCTCACTCATAATGATGAATAAAGCCATTTAGGAACCAATGTTAATTTATAATATTTCGAATTAATTTTTATGTTTGCGTTCATTTTAATTTTTGTATGTTTTAGTAATGTTATTGTGATTTTGTCATTTAAAAAAAAAAAAAAATAGGTCTATATAGTTTTTTTTTTTTTTTTTCATTTTTATTGCAGTTTTAGTTATTACATCAGGTTAAACTAAATGAAAATGAGAAATATTGCCTTGGCAACTGGCCGAAATAAAATCAGTTTAAGTTTTTCATATTTTACAGGTTTTTTATGGTTTTAATATTATTTTAGTTTACGTTACTACTTAACTACAATTAGAACACAGAAGATACACTGATGTAAAGATTAAAAACATATTATGGCATTTATTAACAAATGAAGTTAACATGAACTGCTTCGGCATAATTCAGTTTGACTTCAGTTTAAACCTAAAGTACATTCATAAACTTCTACGGATTCATTATATTGATGAAAATGAATATTATACGCACCTGTGTGGCTTCCTATGTGACCTAATAATGAGTTTCCTTAATGAGTTTTAAGTTTCCTCTGAAGCTGTGACTTGTGAACACAGTTTTCAGTCTATTTGAAAGACGGGTGAGTGTCACTGTGTTAATATTGGCTTTAGGTCAATAACCCTGAAAAATCAAACCCTCTTCAAAACAGAAAAAGGGGACCAAGAGAGAGAGAGAGATGGACAGATGGCCTTCTTTCCAGATGAGACTCATCTCTTGCTTCAGGGTCATCCGTGTGATTCACACACTTCACAGGACACAGATTACAGCATTATCAACCCGTGAACAAACACAAAGTGAGGCTTTATTCCACTCAAGAACTTAAAAATGCAATTAGAAAGTATATTACCTTTCAAAAGTTCGGGGTGTTTTTGAAAGAAGTCTCTTCTGCTCACCAAGACAGTTTATTTGATCAAAAATACAGTAAAAAAATGTAATATTATTACCATTTAAAATACCTGTTTTCTATGTGAATATCTGTTAAAATGTAATTTATTCACGTGATTCAAAGCTGAATTTTCAGCATCATTCCTCCAGTCTTCAGTGTCACATGATCTTCAGAAATCATTCTAATATGCTGATTTGCCGCTTAAGAAACATTTCTGATTATTATCAATGTTGAAAACAGTTGTGCTGCCCAATATTTCTGTGGAAACCAGATTTTTATGATTATTTGCTGCATGGAAAGTTCTAAAGAACAACATATATTTGTAACATTTTTGTAACATAAATGTCATTAGTCACTTTTCATCAATATAATGTATCCTTGTTGAAAAGTATTAATTTCTTTCACAAAAAATACAAAATCTTACTGACCACAAACTTTTGAACTTTTAATCAGCCCCTTTTTACCACAGAAAAAAAAGAAATATGCAACTATGTCAACAAAAACACTTTATTTTAGCTAAATATATTTTTTGGGGGGTGAAATATGACCTGGACATTTCTTCATGAAACCCAAACTGTGTGATTAATTAAACAAAAACCAGAATACAGCAAAACGAGTGACGTGTGGACTCAGAATAAAAGAACAGAATGATGCGATGGAAGTTAACGAGTGATAACTGGGAAACAGGAAGAGACGAGCGATACACGGAGTTCATAAAAACATGAGGAAGTGAAAAACAGACTCATTGTTCATGAGCCATTATGATGCCATGACTGTTACTGAACTTTGGTCGATCTGAGAGAACAACACTGAAACGGTTTCTATACTGACGTATAGCGCAGGTGAGTGTGTGTGTGTGTGTGTGTTATAGAGAAACATGGTTAATCATTCACATTTAACAAGGACCAAAGTCTCATCTGCAACTTAGAAAATAAACAATGTAAGCAGAACATATTACACACAATTATAGCAAATAAAACAAAAGCTGACACCTGATCATTTCTAACAACAGATTTTTAAATCATTTTATTTTTCAAAATGACAGTCGCAGACAATTTTAAACATTTTAGTTTCTGTACATTGTGTCAAACGTCACTGAGACCTATAGCGACCTCAGAGCTGTGCCGAAGCTCCGCCCCTTTAGATACATTTGCATTTCTAGCCAAGAGGGGGCGGAGCTACTTGGACTCAAATTTAAAATCGGAGGCGGAGCATAATGACATCACAGCAGTACTACCGTTACTCACTGTGACTGAAACGGACCTCACTCTATGATTCTCTCACAGAACAATCAACACAATACGAGCTTCAAGTGCATGAATATCTGTGTCTGTGTCCATTTCTCAGTCTTGTGTTTTTCTCCATGTCACCTGCTCAGCGTCTACCCATGATGCAAGGCTCTATATCGAGCCGGTGCCACCAGCGCCCGGTCCTCTCGTTCTGAAGTCATGCCACAACTTCACCAGCGGCTCTCTGTTCTTCCAAATGAGCTCGTGACCGTAAATTATGTACCAGCTAGAGGAAGAAAGAGAGAGAGACACATATTGACACATTGAGCACAGAGAGAGAGAATGAACATGCTTGTGTTTGCATGTTTACAGCTGGTATTAAGATCCATTAAGGATCCAAACGAGACACATCACCATTCACACTTGCTGTTAAAATGCATCTCAAATATAGCCCATTTTGAGGCAAGGGTCCCAGATTGAGTTATTATATTTAACTAAAACTAATACCGTAAAAAAATATTTTAGTTAACTGAAATAAAATAAACATTACCCAAAATAAAATAAAATGCAAAAAAATCAAACATTTTATTTCAGCGACTTGCCAAGGCAACATCTTTTTTTTTTTAAGTTTAGCTTTAAGTACTAAAAAAACAACAAAAAATAAACTAAAAAGAATGAATAAAAAATTATTCAAACCATATAGACACTTTAAAAAAAAAAAAAAAAAAGGATAAAAACTCAACATGATTATTTAAACTTTAACTAAAATTAAAGTGAAAACAGAAAATCTAAAAATAATATCTAATTAATCAAATATTATCAAATATTAACACAAACTATAATAGTCAATATAATATCAATATCCATGTATATATAATATAATATCAATGATACTGAAATAACACAGGTACAAGCAATGTGCCAGAGTTATTTTAATATTATTTATATACTATTATAATATTTATTAATATTTTGAATTAGGTTTTATTTTTATATTTTTGCTTTCATTTTAATTTTAGTTTAAATTTGAGTAATTTTGTTATGTGCTTTTGCCATTTTTATTATTTTTTATTTTATAATATTTCTATTTAACTTTAATTTATGTTTAGTTTTAGTGATTTTACTACTTAATGTTAACCTTTTTTGTGTTAGTTGTCAAGGCAACATTTCTCATTTTCACTTCAGTTTTTTTAAAATTTCATATTCATATTCATTTTTCAATTAATTTAACAAAAAAACATATTTAACAGTTTTAGTAATAACTACACTTTCTACTTTCAGCTAGACAGATCTAAATGTATGTGAAAGCAGAGACGGTTACTCACATGCCGAATAAAGCTCCACCTAAATGAGCTGCGTGATCGAAAAAACGCCATCCCAGAATCAAGCCTGTGGTATCCAAGGCGACGAGGGCCTTAAGAGCCTGTTGGCAGGAGAAGATCATGAGAATGTGAATCATTACTAAACAAAAGCTCTCTTACACACACACACACAGACACACAGACAGACAGACAGACAGACAGACAGACACACAGACACACACACACACACACACGTACGTTTCCGGCGGTGAAGGTGTACATGGGGAGGAAGATGATGGCCAGTTTGGCTTCAGGCATTTTGGTGCAAACAGCTGCTAGGACAGCCATGATGGCCCCTGACTGACACAACACAACCATCTGTTCAAGACATTCACATGAACACTGATGAAAACCTGAAACGTTTAATCTGAAAACACACTCACCGCCCCCAGTGATGGACCAAACCGACCCATCGCTGTTTTACTCACATAACTGACAAACGTAGAAATCACACCTGAGAACATGGGGACAGAAAGATGAAATCCAATAACACTGATGAATTTATAGGGAGTAGGATGGTTTTAGAAATCTGAAAACTCGTAAATGACACAGACCTGCGGAGAGGTAAAGCGCCATGAACTGCTCTTTGCCCATCATGTTGACGATGCTCGAAGAGAAACTCCAGAGCACATACATGTTGGCCGCCATGTGAAAGAGAGAATAGTGACTGAACGTGGACAGCAGCATGGGCCAACACAGAGCCTCTGAAACCAGATCACAATCCAGATTAAATTACCGTGCAAACCAGATCACAATCCAGATTAAATTACTGTGCAAACATCAGAAACCAGATTAAATAAATGCATAAACCAGATCAAATTGCGGATTAAATAACTGCATAAACCAGATCAGAATGCGGATTAAATAACTGCATAAACCAGATCAGAATGTGGATTAAATAACTGAATAAACCAGATCAGAATGCGGATTAAATAACTGCATAAACCAGAACAGAATCCAGATTAAATTACTGTGTAAACCAGCTCACAATCAATCCAGATTAAATTACTGCATAGACCAGATTAAATAGCTGCATAAACCAGATCAGAATGCGGATTAAATAACTGCATAAACCAGATCAGAATGCAGAATAAATAACTGCATAAACCAGATCACAATCCAGATTAAATTACTGTGTAAACCAGATCACAATCAATCAAGATTAAATTACTGCATAGATTAAATTATTGCATAAACCAGATTAAATAACTGCATAAACCAGACCAGAATCCAGATTAAATTACTGCATAGACCAGATTAAATAACTGCATAAACCAGATCACAATTCAGATTCAATTATTGCATAGACCAGATTAAATTGCATAAACCAGATTAAATAACTGCATAAACCAGATCAGACTGTGGATTAAATAACTGCATAAACCAGATCACAATCCAGATTAAATTACTGTGTAAACCAGATCACAATCAATCAAGATTAAATTACTGCATAGATTAAATTATTGCATAAACCAGATTAAATAACTGAATAAACCAGAACAGAATCCAGATTAAATTACTGCATAAACCAGAACACAATTAAGATTAAATTACTGCATAGACCAGATTAAATAACTGAATAAACCAGATCAGAATGCAGATTAAATAACTGCATAAACCAGAACACAATTCAGATTCAATTATTGCATAGACCAGATTAAATTGCATAAACCAGATTAAATAACTGCATAAACCAGATCAGAATCCAGATTAAATTACTGCATAGACCAGATTAAATTGCATAAACCAGATTAAATAACTGCATAAACCAGATCAGACTGTGGATTAAATAACTGCATAAACCAGATCAGACTGTGGATTAAATTACTGCATGAACCAGATCACAATCCAGATTAAATTACTGTGTAAACCAGATCACAATCAATCAAGATTAAATTACTGCATAGATTAAATTATTGCATAAACCAGATTAAATAACTGAATAAACCAGAACAGAATCCAGATTAAATTACTGCATAAACCAGAACACAATTAAGATTAAATTACTGCATAGACCAGATTAAATAACTGAATAAACCAGATCAGACTGTGGATTAAATTACTGCATGAACCAGATCAGAATCTAGGCCTACATTCCAAAAATTCGACTTTCCATCAAAACCATGTACTATTTATATACTATTACATACTATTACTGTATTTTGAGTTAGCTTTTTATTTTGATTTTAATTGTAAGTAATTTGTTATGTGCTTTTGTCATTTTTATTAGTTGTTTTTTTAAATAATTGTTTCAATTTAATTTAATTTCTATTTAATATTTCTATACAATTAAAGATTTTAGTTATTTCCAGTTTATAATTTTAATGCTCCAATTTAAATGTATTTCAGCTAGTTGCCAAGGCAACAATTCTAATTTTAATTCAGTTTAAAGTTTTTACGTCTAATATTTATATTTTATTTCAGCTTCAGTTTCCATTAGCAAAAATGTTTTTATTTGTTTTAGGTTTAACGATAATATCCCTGGTTTGCAGTTGCTGATATACTACCAGGCACAATTATGCTACCAGGAATCTTGTGCATGTTTACTGTACCATAAATTAAAACATAATACAAATTATTACATTATACATTTTTTGTACTCTTTATTATTCATTTGAACACATTTTCAATACCAAAGAAACCTGAAAACATGCTAGACTGTACAATAAAGTGTAAATCAGACCATAATCCTAATCAATCCTACACAAAATTCCTAATTTTGAGGCAATGTAAACAAGACTGACCCTGAAAGAGAATTGTTATTTAGATGCAGCACATTATGAAAGCCAAACAGATGAGTTGACTCACTGGAGGAGGGGTTAGATGTGAAGTACTTGAACATAGTGTGCTGCAGAGAAGGAACTCTCCAACAAAAAAACACCAACGCGTTCGCTGCAATGATGCCTGAGAGAGAGAGATTTGTTCAGAGGGAACAGTGCACAGAGAAATAGATGGACAGCATCTGTTTATTTAAAGTCCCCCTGTAGTGAAAATCAAGTTTTTTTATGTTGTTTATTTGTCTATGTGGTGTTTTTAACATGCTTAACCATGCGCCAATCTATTAATCAACACCATTGCTGAGTATTTTTCTCCTTAAAACTGTAGTTTCCCAATGGCAGTCCCAGAAATGCGGTTTGAAACATCCCACGGTTTGCTACGTCACAATCCAATAACGTCAAGGGATCGATTCCTATCACTAGCATGCAACCTATACCAATACCAGCACAAAACCAAAAATAAACCAGAGCAAAAAACCCATGAAGCCGTGGTTTAATGTGAATTTAGAACCGCTAACTTGCATTATAACCCGCGGCAACAGTGTAAAAGTAGCCCGGAGTCAGACCCACCTCTCCCGCATCGGCGTCTGCACTTCACACGCGTACGCGAATTAAGAAACACAAACGGTTGCATTCGAGTCTTCAAGGCATTTTAGAACACAACATTGTCAAGTAAGTAACTTTAACGAATGTTACAGTATTCACTGCAGTTGTCCGCTAGTAAAAACATAGTTTTATCAGTCATTATCCGTGTATGCCATTGTTTTGCGGTTACTACAGTTCAGTGGATCAGGAGGCGCTGGCTGTGTGACTGAGTGGAGGCGGGGCTAATTTGCATATTCATAGATCCGCGTATAGTAAATGAGGCAAGGGCGTAGTTACATTCAAATTATTTTAAGGCATGAGAAAATTATTTTCTCAAGAAAAAACATTTAAATATGTAATTTTGATGATCAAAGATAAGTTTTAAGGGATAAAATATTTTACTACAAGGCGACTTTAATAAAATTGCATTAAATACATTGTCTCCACAATCTATACTGATCATCAGTGTAATATGAATGGCTGGATTTGGTTTGTGTCATTCAGACTGACCCGTGACTGTTTTCTGTCCATCACTTAAACTGTTCCACCACTGGCTCACCTGCAGAAAAACATGCGTCTATTAAACACCAATCGAAAAACACAAACGTCCATTAAACGGACACACACCTGCTTGTGCAAATCGCCTTGTTTCTGAGGCCGTATCTTCTCCAGCCAGTCCACTTTGACATCATCAAAGTAACTCTGTACTCTAGATTTTAGACTTTCGTACTGCCATATCGCCGCTCCGCCGAACGAACAACCTGTAAACTGAGCTGGAGTTATTACGATATTCTAAAAGATCATAATCCACACACATACTGGACCGTATTCTTGTAATATAGATATTTTAACTGTCCCACTGAACTGAATAGTTAAAGTATAATGACAAAATGAAATTGTTTCTGCACATTGTACTCACCACGTGTCAGTAAAATATACCTACCCCTATAGTGAAGACCAATGGTTTGACCAGTCTGCCAAATGACCTGGCGGGTACATGTGGGGTGGGCGGGTCTGGAGCAGGAGCCTCGCCCTTCTTGTGGAGGATTTCATTTAGCTCCGCCTCTTCTGACACACCCTTCTTTGGCTCCACCCTCTTTGTTATTTTGCGGAAGCCACACCTCTGCTGCGTCTGGAGAGTGAATCTATTTGGAGCAAAACAATGATAAAATATTGCATTTATATCGATTTTTCAATGGATGGAATGAGGAAAAAATAAAAACAGTTACCCAAAAATTTCATCTTAATTTATAAAGACTTGTTTGATAAAAGTAACCTTGAGAGAACTTATAAACAATATATGTAATGCATTTATTTTATATAATATAATGTGGGAGGGACTTGATTTGACTGGATCATTCAATGTATAATATAAGATGTAATATATTACATTATAATATAATAATAATGTGGGATGAAACAGTTTTTTATGTTTTAAAATGTTTTTTTTTTTTATACATCGCATAGCATGCATAGCACTGAAACCCAATTGTAATTGTTAGAATGGCCAAGGATCGGTAATCTCCACCTAAAACTGATCGGGCAGACCAAACCATAAGTCGTAGAGACTTGAAACTAGGGATGGTAGTACCCACACCGTCTACAACGTCACCAAGGCTCGTCCTAATCGTCCTGACGGGGGTGCTACAGCAATCAAAAGTACGAAATCGCTCCTAAACCGTCCTAAATCGCAGGCTCAAGTGCCTTATGTCGCTGGAATCCTTGGCTCACGACGGATTTGATCGTCACCCGTGAAATTTTCGGGTATTTTGGATTCTTTGAAAAACCTACTTTTGCGAACTAGTCCTAGGTTTTTCGCCTGATCGAACCAAACCAGTGCAGAAAGATTCTCTGGAGACTGAATATCAATAATTATCAAAAAAAAAGTTGAACTTTCCACTCACCGTAGCAAAGGGACATTCGAAAAACGTTCGAAAGGGGCAGAGCCGGTTTTACTAAATCGGCTATAACTTTTGAACGGAATATCGTCGCCAAACTCAGAACACTCATGTAAGAGCTCAATCTGAGGGCACATGAAAAAAATTGCGGAGCTTGGCCACTTGGTGGCGCTATAAGAGGGGAAAAACATTAAAATGGCTATAACTATGCAGCCATTCATCCGATCAACATGGAAATTGGTATGCAGTGTCTTCCAAAGTGCCACAGGTGTCCTTAAGGACACTTGCGTATCTCAAAAAGCATGGCCGCCATTGGCCAATGGAATTTGAGCACCTATTAGACAAGGTTTACGGAGGTCGATCGGAACAAAACTCAGTGGGAATGTTTGATTCATGGCCCTACAGGTCTGTGAGAAATTTGAAAGAAATCAGCCACTGGGGGGCGATATGGCATTTTTCAAGCACGTAAACGATTGTACATTACGCAGTTTTTTACACATACACACAATATTTGTATCATCTGATAGATCTCCTCATTCCGAGTGGCCTCTAGAACCACTGCCGTCAATCAAATCGTTTGTTAAATAATTGAGAATATGTAAAAAAAAAAACTTGTTTTGCGAACTAGTCCTAGGTTTTTCACTCAATCTCGAAAAAAACACTGCAGTACTCTGGACTCTCTAGATCAATAATTATCAAAAAAAAATGTAACTTTACCCTTTGAGTAGCTATAACGGGGTCGTTTAGAAAAGGGGCGTGGCCAAATACACCCAAAAGCCTTTAAGTCCTAAACGAAAACTCAAAACTTCACGAAACTAGGTGAGCACATTACGGAGGTCGATCGGAACAAAACTCAGTGGGAATGTTTGATTCATGGCCCTACAGGTCTGTGAGAAATTTGAAAGAAATCAGCCACTGGGGGGCGATATGGCATTTTTCAAGCACGTAAACGATTGTACATTACGCAGTTTTTTACACATACACACAATATTTGTATCATCTGATAGATCTCCTCATTCCGAGTGGCCTCTAGAACCACTGCCGTCAATCAAATCGTTTGTTAAATAATTGAGAATATGTAAAAAAAAAAACTTGTTTTGCGAACTAGTCCTAGGTTTTTCACTCAATCTCGAAAAAAACACTGCAGTACTCTGGACTCTCTAGATCAATAATTATCAAAAAAAAATGTAACTTTACCCTTTGAGTAGCTATAACGGGGTCGTTTAGAAAAGGGGCGTGGCCAAATACACCCAAAAGCCTTTAAGTCCTAAACGAAAACTCAAAACTTCACGAAACTAGGTGAGCACATGCGACAGGTGATTCTAAACAAGCATGCAAAGTTTTATGGAGATCGGACCACATGTGGCGCTATAACAGTCATAACCAATAAAAACCATCATATTTCTATGGGAAATTACCAAAAACGCTTTTTTAAATAATTGATTTAGGACGTTACAGGATTGCTAAATAATATGTAATGTATTTTTTCATATGTGCTTCAATGCCTTAAAGCGCTTGAACCCCGATAATTATTAGAAAAGTTGTTTCTAATAATTTTGCCAAAGTTATTACTCATATTTTTTTATTTATTACAATACATAAGGTCCAATCTTATTTCTAGCTCTCCTTAAATAATGTTTACATCTACAAATGCCTTAAAACAGAACTAAAGACGCGTTTATAATCGAAACAGTTGATCATTATCGTTATGTTTCTAATGACATTCATTCCGTTCAAATATTAGAACACTTTAAGCTGAAGCTTTAATGTCTGAGCTGATGAAAGCCACTGAAGCTGCTGTGAGTGACATGAGGCGCTCAGTAAGTAAACGCGCAGTCAGAGGAGTGTGTGTTACCTGTTGGTCAGGTAGTGTGTGCTGCTGATGTCCTCTGAAACCCTTCTGAACACTGAAGCCCTCACCGCCATCATCACTACTGCGACCCCACTCACTGCTGCTCATGCAGCTGCTGCTTCCGCTTCCGGCTCAGAGCACGCCCACAGCGGCGCCTGCTGGAGGACAACACGCACTGCACTGACAAGATTGAGTCCTATTTTAAAATAAAAGAAAACGTGCATTTTAAATCTAATTCATATAAATTTACAATCAAGATTTCAAATTTGACTAAATTTGCAAAAATCACGTTTTGATTTATTTGCATGCTTGTTCGTTTTTTGTTAATCTGTTAATTGGGCAGGCTTTCCACATTTTCATTTTGTTTTTATTCATTTACTATTTTTTTTGTGAGAGTTTATTAATTAATTAATTTATTTGCAGGTTTGCACATTTGTTTATTTTATTCAGTCATTTATTTTACTCATTTGCAGCAATGTTGAATTTAATTAATTATTATTTTTATTTATTTTAATATATTTGACTTGTTTTTTAGTTTATTAATTAATTTATTTTATTTGTAGGTTTGCAGATTTATTTATTTTTTGGCAGATTTTTTACATTTATTCAATTAATTACTGATTTGCGATTTTAATTGATTTAATATATCTGGCACATTTGTTTTTATATTAGTTTATTCATTTACTATTTTTGTCAGTTAATTAATAAACTTGTTTGCATTTGCTTAGTTTGCTCATTTGTAGCAGAGTTTTTTTTTAATTCATTTAATTATTTATTTGCATGCTTTCACATTTATTTATTTTTATTCATTTATTATTTTGGCAGCGTTGGCAGTTGTTTTCATTTTGTTATTGATTTACGATTTTTGTTTATTTATGAATTAATTAATTTTATTTATATTATTCTATTCGTTTTTTGCAATTTATTTATTTATTTGCACGTTTGCGATTTTTTTTTTTTTATTCATTAATTAGGCTATGTGGCAGAGTTTGCACATTTGTTTTTATTGTATTTTTATTAATTGTATTAATTTCTATTTTTGTCAGAGTTAATTAATTAATTTATTTGCATGCTTGCACATTTGTTTATTTTACTCATTTATTATTATAGCATGTTCTGCGCTTTTTTTAAATTAAATTTGGATTATTTTACGAGTTTTTAGTTTATTCATTAATTAATTTATTTCTATATTTTGCGAATTTGTTCATTTTTTATTCATGAATTATGTGGCAGAGTTTGCATTATATTATATTTTTATTACTTTTATTATTTATTTGCATGCTTGCACATTTGTTTATTTCACTCATTTATTGTTGTAGCAGGTTCTGCGGTTCTTTAAAATGCAATTTGGATTATTTTACGAATTTTAAATTGATTTATTTATATATCTTGCTAATTTGTTAAAACATTTTCATTAATTATGTTGCAAGAGTTTGCACATTTTGTATTATATTTTTATTAAATTGTATTAATTTCTATTGTTGTCAGAGTTAATTAATTTATTTGCATGCTTGCATGTTTGTTTATTTTACTCATTTATTATTATTGTAGCAGGTTCTGCGCTTTTTTAAAATGTATTATTCTCTTTATTCATCATTTTTTTATTTATTAATTAAAGGTCTATGTGGCAGGTTTTTCATTTGTATTTATACTTTCCTTTATTGTTTTGGTTTTCACATTTAATGTTAGTATATTTGTACTTATTTATTTGCAGAGGCGGTGTTTCAGCACGTGCATGTCTAATAAAGAAAAGAAATCGGCGTCGGTCTGCAGCTGCGCTCCGGTGGGCATCACAGTACAGCGCCTGCGCTCCGCTGCTCCGGTTCCACCGTCTCCTCCTCGCGAACATGGCGGCGCCTGCGCTCTCCAGCCGGGCTGGTTCAGCTGGCAGCAGCCCCACCGCCACCCCGAACAGCACCAAACTCGTCCCGCACTCCCCCGAGCTGGACTTCAGGTCCGGAACCAGGATCGAGGAGCTCAACCGGCTGATCGCCGAGTTCAGCAAGCACGAGCAGCGTGAGTACGACGACCAGCGAGCGCTCGAGATCCACACGGCCAAGGACTTCATCTTCTCCATGCTCGGTGAGAAAGAGCTCCGCTCCGACACAAAGCAGCACATGCATGCCATGCATCTGAAAGCGAAGTGCGCTTTTGCGCGTTCAGCGTCTGTTTGTCTTTGTCAAGCGCTTCGGTCTGTGTTGAGCAGCGGATGGGTGTGTTTGCAGCTTCAACACCCTCAGCTCGGGTTTGCAATGTTATTCAGACGCTTTATGTGCATGAGCTGACAAAATCTGGTTATCTGCTTGCTGTTAAAGGAACAGTTCAGCCAAAAATGTATATTCTGCCATTAATTACTCACTATCATGGCTGTATGACTTTCTATATTCACTGGAAAACAAAAGGAGATGCACAATTTCCAAGCCTCTCTGTATCCATTCAGTGAAAGTGGAAGGTCAGCAGTGACTGTCAAGCTCCAGAAAGAGCAAAAATGCACTTTTGAAGCCATAAAATTAAACATGTTAAACTTAAAGCTATACATTTTCACCTTAAATGACATGTAGCTTGCTTCGTTTGATTATCGGAAGGAAAAACAAGGCAAGACAGCATGAGAAAAAGCAAATTTGAAAAGTAAAATAAGGAGTAGAATTAAATGAAAATGATTTCAAATATAATAAATGATTAAAAAACATTAACAAAATCACAAACATGCGAATAAATAAATTAATAATTAAACAAACCGACAAACATGAATAAAATAAGCAAACCTGCAATAAATAAATGAATTAATAAATTTGAAAATGTGAATGAACAAAAATAAAATACATAATAAAGTAAAATAAAATAACAAATGCACAAACCCTGCCAAAATATGAACACATTAATTAAAAATAATAATAATAAACAAGCTTTAAGCATGCAAGTAAAATTAAATGTTGTTTTTTGGAACCTTTGATTGTATACTATAATATAAAACAATATATTTAGGCCCAAATTAGGCCTCTGACTGACCTGTTTCACTGATGTATGACTTAAAAATATGCATAATATTAAGTTTAATATTGTTTATGTTAAAATTCCATCCAAATGCATGAAAAAGTTGTATGCAATTCAAATACAGAAATCTTAAATTTAGGTCTGAATATGTTTTGGAGTGGAAATGGTTGTGAATTATTGCTTGTAAAAAATGAAATGTGTAACCAGACCAGCAGGAATAAGTGGCACCAAATTAGTAGTCATGTGGCGCCATTAGAAAGAGCATCACTGCATAAAAATAGCACATAAAAGCTGCATTTACTCCTTAAAGAGTTGAATTCTCAGAGACGCTGAACAGAAGCAATGCACTGTGAAGCAGAAGATCTCAGCAGCAGAGATCTGTCCGGACGCATGAGTGCACTGACTCTCTGTCTCACACGTGTTTACTCAGCCATGCAGTCATACACTCATCTGCGCTGCATGGAGAACAGTTTGAGGACAGGATGAAATCAAAACTGACAGTGTTTACTTCTTTAAAGGTTCCCTGAAATGCTTAGAAACACGCAGCGTTACTCTGTGTTGACGTCATTTAACTGAAACAGGAAGACAGGGCGGGGCATATCAAGCAGCCCCGCCCCTTTTTAAAATAGCCAATAGCGTTCGTTTATATCACAGCTTGGGCTAGAGCCGTTCAGAGTAGTGATGGGAAGTTCGGATCATTTTACCGACTCGGACCTTTGAGTCTCGTTCAGCAAAATGAACAAATCTTTTTTCGAGTCATTTCGTTAATTTTAGCAAAATATAATTAAAATGTTACGTGTTACTTCCCTAACACGTCTACTACTTACGCAAACGTTGATCACACTACAAACAATACAAAACTGCTATAAGAAACAGAAAAGATGAATTAATTGTTTACCTGGGTCTTCAGTCTATGATTAGCTCACCTCACCTTTTATCTGACAAGTCTTCAGGTTTGAGTCATTCGTTCATCACGTGACAGCCCCATAAACTTAACCAATGCAGTCTGAGCCGGAAAGAGAATTGATTAGTTCATCTCTCGAGTCTTTCGAATCTTTTGGCATGTGACGTGACAGCATAGGATAGAGAAATTAGTTAATTTACAAGCTTCCTTACAAACGGGTGCATAGTTATTATTATTATCATCATTATTATTATTA